AAAGGAAACGCCTGTAGCACATTTTGTACATACAGTCCCGAAATCACATGTAAATTCACATAAATATCAGTCTAATATCAATCTATGTATAAGAAATATATATAAGTAATATATAAGTAATTAGAACTTATTTTGTCTAAGGAAATATAATGTGAGCACAGATTTCAGATTATTTTCATCATACAATAAAGTCTACATCGTTGTTAGCTTTCAATCAATCAAATCATTTATCATCATTTATTTGAATACATGTCGTTTTCATTCTCATCGAGAAGAGACTCAATCTCATAGAGTTAGCATCAAATGAAATCTAAACGCTAAGCAACAATATCACGCAAAATAAGGAATGTGCAGTTTAATGCTATATTTGAAACACTAAAGAAAATCATGTAGAAATAAAATGTGACAATAATGAATATTATAATATAAAGAAAGTGATACCATTATTGTCAATTAAGACATAGATAACAAATGATGAATGAATTTCATTTACTATCTCTGTCCCTTTCTTTTTCGTTCACAGTCACGCAACGGCACGTCTCTTTTATGAATGTAAGCAAATAAAATCTTTATTTACTAAAGGCATCCGAAGTTTGTTTACATTTGATAGCGGCAAAAAAAATAGATAGATAACAAAAAAAAAAATAATAATAATAGCGGCCTGCAAACATTATTGGATGAAAATGAAACGCAAACAAAAAATTAATTTGCGGACGCATTACGAATGACTTGCCATGGCATATATACTAAAGCATACCTCTTCCTCTTTTTTTTTTTTTTTTTTTTTTTTTTTGTTTGTATTTGATATGGATTGGACCTTTTAACTTAAATTTAGATCCATAGTCCAGTAACTATATAGAAATCCATTGCTGATATTCATAATTTCACGTGATGATGAAATAATGATGCTTTTTACTAAATTTTTTCAATTTTTTGCTTTCTAGGTTATGTTTGACTCTTTTCTTCATATCTTTATTTCAATTGAGTGACACGCTGAAGTTGGTTGTGTACACCCCAACGACAGCATGAAGACTGACCTCTTCCTCTTCCCACCGAATTATTGCTGGTCGTGAATAGTGAATATATTTCGAAAATTCCGAAGGCATAAAATTCGTCACCTTCACATTGTAAGGAAGCGCTCTGCTTCCTTACGAAGTACAAGTCCATTCGCCTAAGACAACCATCTACATTAAGCAACTAGCCAGTCCGCTCTGTCCGCGCACGTCCATTTGGGGGTTAAATAAAAGATGAGCAACTCTCTCCAGCAGTAATAGGTATGCAAATGTAAATAACTACTCAAATGTAAATAAGTCTTCAAATGTAAATCAGCATGTAAATATAAATAAGTATGCAGCGGTAAATAAGTATTCAAATGTAAACAAGTATTTAAAGAGAAGAACTCAAAGGGAAATTAGAATTCAAATGTGAATAAGAACTCAAATGCAAATAAGTACTCAATAAGAGCTCAAATGTAAACCCAAGTGTATATGAGAATTCAAATGTAGAAAGCATAGGTTCAAGAACCAAAGGGCCCGTAGAGAGAGAGAGAGAGAGAGAGTATGAACACACATTGAATAGGCCTATGTTAGTGAAACCATAGGAATACCCGTGTATTAAAACCCATAGGCAATAGCATTAGAACCCAACATATACGAAATCACTAGAACGAAACTATGCAACATGTATAAGAGCAGTAGAACCACGTTTCATAAAAGCATTAGAAACCAAATCCTGTATGAAGGCATGAGCTCGATACCGGCACAAGACTTGTATCACACGAATATAGACTATGTACAAAACAAGCAGAAAAACCATGTAAAGAAGGGACAAAATGTATAGCACCGTTAGGGCAAACAAAATACACAGAACTGAACTTAGGTAGAAAATAAGGGACAAAGATGCAAAACGCATAGACTGTAACACTACGCAACAGTCTCTACGCTGTAAAAAGCACAAACACCCGCAAAGTGTATAAACTGCAGTAACTTTGCATAGCACCGTTAGTGTAAACAAAATACACAGAACTGAACTTAGGTAGAAAATCTATACATGCAAAACGAACAAACTTCAGCAAAAATCTCTATGTTGTGAAATGCGCACAATGTATAGCACCCTTAGGGTATACAAAACTTACAGGAGTAAGTACGTAGGTAGGAAAAATAAGAACATACGACAAGGCAGAAACTGCATACATAAAATGTACAAAGGCACGATCACACATGCCAAGCATGTTTAAACACACAAGAACACAGGAAAAAAAAACCACACTTGTGGGCATACAACTACAGAACAGCATGAATAGGCACTTCATCAAACACAGCAGTAAATTAGCTGTTAAGTAATGAGATAGTATTAAGTATGTACAAATCGGTCATGTAAGTCGTAACTGATTTTGCGATAGCAGCCGACCTCAGATTAAGCATACATATAAGTAAAACATCACTACAACACAGGCAAATGTACACAGCCTAGAACACGTTGGAACGGAACAAGCGAGCCAGACCCCAGCTATAAAAGAGCAGTGCAGCACCCAGACTCTTTCAATTCAATGTCATAGCTGCCTAAGGTAAGTGAGGACGGATAACTTGACAAGTCAACCTTTTTTTGTTTATTATTTTGACTTACGGATAGGGGATGTGCTGACTTAGCTGTTAGTCGCCATCCCTGAAAGACTGAAGGACACCTTTTTTTTTTGTGCACTTATACACGAGTGACCAACCTAAGACAAACCGCCATCTGGTCATCTCGCTGGTTCCTTTCCTTGCCATAGCCAGCTTCTACTCATCGCTGTACTTCTCTCCCGTAAAAAGGGAATAATAAACTAAGGAAATTGTACACCATTCCCCCCGAAGGTCCGGATTTTTATTCAAAATTTCTTGCAACGAACCTTGGAGTGACTGAGTTATACCCCGCCCAAGAAAACTCGTTACAACATGAAGATCACCGTAAGGATCTATATAGTTGGTTGGAAAAAAGGGATTCATGCGCAATAATTGTAAGATGAATTTGGCTCTTACTCGAATATAATTATGATCTAACTCACAAGTCCGCAAATAATGCATGAGGATGGATAACTGTTAGCCTTTACTCAGTGACAATGTTAAACAAAAATGACGTATTGTTTAGAATACAACAAGCTCAAACAAACTAAACAATGAACACTACATTCCTAAAATTGAAGAAAACATTAAGAAACTGCGACATGAACTGTATTCAATGCATTGTTTTCAATTTAAAGAAAGACACTACAGAAGAAGGGGAGCTCAACATTTTATCTAAGGAAAACATCTCTTTGCATACCTATATCACGCTCGATTTCTGAAACGTTTTGAAGTCAACAAATATAAGCAGTAAAAGTATTTTTCTTCTATTATCGATGCTTTGACAATAAAGTTTCGTTCTTTATAACCAAAAAACGTATGCCTAACAAAACGTATCATTATTAAATTGAGGTCGCAAAAATTATTATCATTGGTGGAAGCCAAAGAAGTATCTAGCTTTGCGGGAGAGAAGAATAAAGAATAAGCCGACATAGTGATGGACGAATTTGGAAAATATAAACAAATAATTACTATATTTTTCGGACTATAAGATGCATTTCAGATTTAGAAAATGATTTTTAGAAAAATTAATTGTAAAAATTAATTGACTATAAGATGCATTTCACATTTATAAAATGATTTTTAGAAAAATTAATTTTAATGATACTTTCGGATCAAAATTTGTATTTATTTTTAACATAATTCGTACTAGGTACTGTCACTTTCTGAATCTGAATTATTGTTGTTGTCGTACCTCAAAACTACCCAACGAGGCGATTTATTGAAAAAATATTTTAATATTATCTTCGAACCATAAGACGCACACAAAAATTGGAGTCCATTTTTCTTTGTAAAAAAATTCGTCTTATAACCCGAAAACTACGGTAATACATTAAGAATTCCTTAAGTTGCAATTGCAGATCCAATATGGAAACTTACGACATCCGTAAACGGCCAATAAGACTTTTCTTCCAATGTTCGCTAATGCAATGATATGAACCTTATCGATTTGTTTACCAAAGAATGATCTTCCTTGAAGGAAATAATTAAGTATTTTGTATAGAAGCAAAGATTGCCTAACTCACATTTAGCTTTTATATTGCTAATAGATTACTGAAGTCGTATTTTAAGACCTATTTGACCAATCAAACAATACTTGTTATTCTTTTCCTTTCACTTGCTCACCTATTTTGCATAAAACATTAACACAAAGAAATTCGCAAACTACGAATAATGTACCCCTACACTCGGTTGCAGTTTTTTGCTTTGCAAATCATTTTGACCAAAGGTTTTATAGTATGGTCGAACATCTTAAGTACTTTAAATAACATTGTCAAATCTTAGGAAACTTTTAGTAAAGTTTTTTTTTTAGTAAACTTTTTGGAAAAAACCAAATTCGTTATTCTTTTATTCAAAACAGTTGGAAGAGCAATTTTCAGGCATCCAGTGGAGCAACCATGTTTATTTGATGATCCTGATGATAACTATTTGTATTGGCAATTAATTGAAGTACAGAGGAGATCAAAGTTTCACAACATTTAACAAAATAATATATCAACATTACTGTAATGCAGATACGGACTTGAAGGAATCTCACTTTACGGTAATTGGACTAAAGATTTCCCACCGATCTCAGCGATATGAAGATCGTATGGCGAATGCTTCGAAAGCTATCCTCGCTACTCTTTACTGTGGGCCATTCAATCAAGACGCCACAGCTTACTTCAAAAAGATTACAAATGCAAGTTATGTCAATCAGAACAGTTACTAACACATATAACTGATTAACAACAAAAGATTTACCATTCAATTTCATTAAAAGACTGTAATCAATAAACATTGGCTTAAAATCGGTACTTTTGCGCTTATTTAAACGTATTTGATTTAGCTGATAAATTTAGGCTTAGTGCTAGATTCTCTTTGAAGTGTTACATTACAAAAAAAATGGCGAATACATACGTGAACACTACGTAACAGTTGTGATGTTATCAGACGATGACGGTGGACGGTAAAAAGAAGTTTTTAAAATTGCGAACATGGAATGGTGACCCTTTTGACTAGTCGCCTTTTTTCAGCTATGATTCATTGCGCCCATCTCTTACTGAGATTTTCTTTTCAAATTTCCTGGCAGAAATAAACGGCTGTAAGAAAAAAAAAAGTTAACATCGACATCACATTCTTTCTGAAATAAATGCATCATATTCTTTATATGTTTTTTTTATTAAAAAAAAAAAAAAAAAAAAAACTTTCTTTCCTTCTCGTTTTTTTTAAATCTTTATTTGATTACGTTTTATGTCGCAAAAGAAATATTCCAAAAATCCGGTACCTAACAAATTGTTTTTAATTTATTTAATGACTGCGTAGAAACTTACCTCTACCACAAGTCAAGGGGAATTCTATATTGACAGCATCAGATGATTATTCTAAAGCATGATGCGATTAATACATTCCAATGGATTTGAAAGGAATACTGAACATAAGCATCAATCTCTCTGGACTGTTACATTAGAAAAAGTGGAGAATGCAGGTAACAGTTGTGATGTTATCAGATGATGACGATAAAGGGTAAATACGCATTTCCCCGAACATAGAAGGGCGACTCCTTGACCAGTCGCTTTTTTTGGTAAAGCCTCGCCTTTTCTAAAAATTTTCCTTTGAATTACTGCAAGAAAAAAAGAAACTTGGCATCACTTTCTCTCTTAATTTAAGACATCAAATTCATGAAGTACTCTTTCTAAGGAAAAAAAATCAATCTTTCTTTTTCTTATTAGTTTCTTACTTAGTCACATGTTTTATGTCATAAAAACGGTAAAATTCCAGTACCTAACGGAAATTTTTTAATTTATGTAATGACTGCAAAGAGACTTACCACCAACAGAAGTTTAACTTTATTCTACAGTAGCGGCACAAGGCAAATACCAGACACCTATGCTAAAGCATTCCAATGGATTTGCAGGACAGTCGCTTTTTTTGGTAAAGGCTCGCCTTTTCTAGAAATTTTCCTTTGAATTACTGCAAGAAAAAAAGAAACTTGGCATCACTTTCTCCCTTAATTTAAGACATCAAATTCGTGAAGTACTCTTTCTAAGAAAAAAAATCAATCTTTCTTTCTCTTATTAGTTTCTTACTTAGTCACATGTTTTATGTCATAAAAACGGTAAAATTCCAGTACCTAAGAGAAATTTTTTTAATTTATTTAATGACTGCAAAGAGACTTACCACCAACAGAAGTTTAACTGTATTCTACAGTAGCGGCACAAGGCAAATACCAGACACCTATGCTAAAGCATTCCAATGGATTTGGAAAGCTAGAGGCGGATGCTGACCATAAGCATCTGAAAATTAAAAATTCGAAAAAAAACCTAACCTTATCTCTTTTTTGTGTAATGTATGATTGACATTTTTACTTACTTAAGCTTGGAAAAAAAGGTCCCTTCGTATATTGCCTTATCGGCACGACCTTCTCTTCCAGAAAAGTTTTGTTCAAAAAGCCAGATAAGACAGCTATAATTTGTCCTTGAAAATTGATGTAAAGAAGTTAATATATTTATTAGCAACGATTTGCAGGCAATGATGTAGAAATGAGAGAAGGATAAGACATCATCTTTACGTTTAGCTTAGTTTAATTATTTGTAACTAATAATTTATTAGTATTTTTTCACTAGACTTACCTTTAAAAATGCCATCGATTTTGGTCGTCGTTTTATTTCCAAACGAGTTATGCCAAAAATACGGTTACATTAATATGTCGACCTTTGGGAATTTACACTGCATAAATTTATGCATAATTTGTAAAAACAAGAAAAAGAGAGGAAAAAATGCGACTTCTTAGTATCTTCATAAACGCACAAGGTATTGAAGATATGATATTTAAATTGCAAAAAACTTTCTTCCTACAATACCGTAATTTTGCGTCCAGCGTCCTCAACCTGCCGCTTTTCAAAAGCAAATGATAGATTTTCGTGAAAATTCTTACTTGAAGACTAAGCATACAAATCGGAAAAAAATCGATAAAACAACATTTGGTAGAATTTAGTAACGGGGTTGTTAATAGCTAGGAGTTAATAAATAAATCTCTTTTAGGATTAAATAATCTAAATTCGTAGTTTGCAAACTTTTCAGTTCACAATTTATTCAAAAACATAATTGGAAAAAAACGTATTCGGTTCAAAATTTTTTATTAAGGGCAAAAATAGAGTAAGATATTTACTTTCTATATCAACAAAATTTATTTTTCTTCCCTAACAAGTCAAATTTAAAATGTTTTAAATATTTCTCAACGGGCAAAAATGGTCGCCACGTTAACTGAAAATGATATTTCAGATAACAAAATATTTCGCTTTGAGAACGTTTAGAACATGAAATGAAACGGGAACGCGTTAGGAAGTGAAATTGAAACTGGAGTACAATTTAAGTGAACATATTTATAATAGATGTTTAAACGTTGAACATTTTAGTTTATATTTTTAGATTTTTGTTAAAGGAAAAATTATCATTTATGCATTGAAATTAAAATATCATTTGAAAATAGGTTTAAAAGTACATTCTCTAAAGAAATACTTTTCGATAAGTTATTTTAAACATTTTTTACTAATAAAAAGAGCGTTTTGTTTTGTTCAAAAATTACACTCTTTAACTTGAACACTCGCCATTTAACAAAAACCAATTTTTTTTTGCAGTCTTGCAATTTTTTAATATTTTCATAAATTAACACTATATATATTTATTTTCCTATTCTTTAACGCACTCTTAATAACCTCCTCATATATTATTATTCAATTAGAATTTCGTTTTATCCATAAAAAGTCGTAAAAATACACTTTCGTCAGGATATTACGTTGAAGAGAATTTAATTGTTTTCCAATTACATTCATTATCTCAAATATATGACCTAATTCTCTAATTGTTACCTATATTTGTTTTTATTTTAAGTAAAAGCACAACTTAGTTCTCTAAAATTCACTTCGTACTTAGAATCCACGGATGATATATTTAACTTTTAATGCGAGCTAGTTTTCACAAATTCATTTGTTTTTTTTTGTTGATAATAAAACAGTTACGCAAAGCCGTCATAATTTTATGCGTTACAAACCAGTCGAGTGTCAGAGTTGAATATATTATCTTGTACAATTTTTAGCGACAAGAAACTTGCTTCCCTTTCAGAATTCGTATAAACAGCGATTACTTTAGTTTTCGATGAAAGTAAAAATAGGTTTACAATAACAATACCAGCAAAGTATTTCAGAAAACTTAAAGCAATCGCTGTGGATTGAAAACGCCTAAAATTATATTATGTTATTAAAATCTACAAGAACTTGTTTGCAAAGCCTTCGACAAAAGTTCCCAATTTGTTCCTCTTTTACAGCATCCCTGCGAAAGCGGTAGCGCGACAACCATAAATTTTTCTCTAAGGTTACAATTAGGTCTTACTTGACATTATGGATTATGTTTCCACAATTGTTTTTTTCTAAATTTAGGCTACTCTATTGAGTTAGTACGTGTGGAAAAAACAGCTGCATTTCATATTGTTTTAATAATTACTGTTTATTTTTGAAATCTTTGTAAATAGTTTTCTTCTTGAAAAATGACTGCAACTTTACGTTATCGTGGCGACAAAAATAATCTAATCGAATTAGCCAAAAATTTGGATGCATTTAAGAAAGTACCAGAAAAATATACAGAATCTACGGAAATTGGTGGCACTTGTAAGTACAAGCGTTGGTAGAAAGAGTAAAATCAACGCGAAAGGCAGAGTTAGGAAACTAATCATACTACGATGTAATTTTTAAGTGTGAATACTTTTAATATTTGAAAGAACTGTGTAGTTGCTATCAAATTTATTATATGTGATGCTTTTACTGATTAATACTTTAAATGAAATTGCAATTCGCAAAAATTAAATTTCTGTTATCTGCCTTAAAACCGCAAGAAATGCAGGGCTTTTCTCACAATAAGTAAATCGTTTAGCGAAATGAAAATATTATTTCAAAGGATGCTTTTTCAAAACATGTCTGCATTCAGATGAATTAGTTTCCAAAAATAATGAAGTGATTTTACGATCACAATGTTATCTTATTCTGTTTGCTCTCGCTTTTATTTATTTTTACATTAACTTTTTTTTCCGCAGTGTCCCTTATCAGTCGTCTATTAATCATTTATCTGATCTATCGTGAAGTCAAGTACTATCAGGACGCAGGATTGGTCTATCAGTTTGAACCGGACATTGATAAAGAAAAGGTACAAATGCATGTTGATATCACCGTAGCCATGCCCTGCAATTCTTTATCTGGTGTAGATTTAATGGATGAAACGCAGCAGGATGTGTTCGCGTACGGTGCTTTGCGTCGTCAAGGGGTGTGGTGGCATTTAACACCTCATGAACGCACTGAGTTCGAAAGAGTACAACATGAAAATCACTTTTTACGTGAGGAATATCATTCCGTTGCCGACTTGCTCTTCAAATACATTATACAAAGCCCAGAAGTGGATGAAACGGCGACAGAAGAAGATGAGAAGCCTTTAAGTGAAGAGCAATACGATGCTTGTCGTTTACATGGGACGTTAGGAATAAATAAGGTTAACTTGTATTAACGATTAAGCTTGAATATCTCATTTTCGTGTACTACTGTTGCAATATTCAGGTGGCCGGCGTTTTGCATTTAGTGGGCGGTACACAACCGGTGGTAGACTTGCTTGGTGAGCACTTAATGATTGGTTTTCGCCATGTTGCGGCCAATTTTACACATCGCATTAATCGTTTAAGTTTTGGACAATATGCGCGACGTATCGTTCAACCTTTGGAAGGTGATGAAACTTTTGTTTCCGAAGAGGGTACTATTGTACAATATTTTCTAAATATAGTACCCACCGAAATACATAAAACTTTTACGACTATTAGCACTTATCAGTATTCGGTCACAGAAAATGTCAGAGTATTGGGTAATTTAAAATGTTTCCACAGTTGTCTGCGGTTTATTTTCAAAATTTTTTCATTTATAGATAGCGATCGCAATTCATATGGTTCACCAGGCATTTACTTTAAATATGATTGGTCAGCTTTAAAAATTATTGTACGTACCGATCGTGATAATATGTTGCAATTTATTATACGTTTAAGTTCCATTATATCGGGTATAGTTGTTTTATCGGGTGAGTTGTGCTTGCCATCATATTACTATGAAGTTTTTGTTTTATTTAAAACTTTATTGTTTTGTTAGGTATTTTAAATGCATTTTTGCTGACTCTACGAAGAAATATTATTAAAATCCTAGCTCCACAGTTGTTACAAAAAACTTCTAGTCTCCCGAATGGTGAAAGCTCCCTGATGAAACCTGCGCAAAGATCTGGCCAGCTTGTGTTGACAAATGATCTGCTAAGTGCCGCGAACAATATGTCAGTCATCGATCAGCAGCAGCACGCAGTTATAACCACTTTGCATAATCCACTCGTTTTATAAAATGATCCGCGACAAATTTATTTTCATTAAGACAAAACTTTTTCTAAATTCGAATTTTACACAAGCTTCCCTAATTGACTGTGTCCTTTCAATTATCCATAAAAGGCTTTTTGTTTGTTGTTAAAATATACCTTTTTATTTACTTTTCATTTAGTTCTTTTGATAAATTTATGACATTTTCTTTAATTCCTGTAAGTTTTCCTTCTCGATCAGCACAAGCTTTTCGAATTATTCGCATTGTTGCATTGAGGGTGCTTTCCAAATCATCTCCTGTTCCCAGCGCGGGATTGAATTCTGCTACATCTATGCCTTGTAATCGGCCTGTGACCCTGAGAGCATCTGTTATATATAGCCCCTCAGTTAATGTTAGGCCACCGCGTACAGGTGTACCAGTACTTGGTGCAACGTACATATCCAAGGCATCTATATCAAAACTCAAATGAATCTTATTATAAGGTTTCAGGGCATCTAATGACATTTCCATTATTTTCGATATACCAAATCGATCAATAGCCTGAAAAAGAATGAAATAATGAATAAATAAATATTTTTTGATATTGAAAGGTATTTTTTAACATATCTCAGTGAACTTTTGGTTAGTTGGTTTGCTGAATAACAGAAAAACAAGAAAGAAGAAGAAGAAGAATTCTTTGCAATTATCGACATTAAACGGACGACAAATCGTTTTTAATTAATTCAGATATTATTTTAATACATTCTTGAATGAAGCTATAATTTATGAGCATTAAGACAAGAAAGAGCAGTTTGCGTATTGGGGAAGCCGTTTGCAATAGCTTCCCTTATTCATTGCAATCGTGAAATTGCAATCCAAACGAATTGTAGCCGCACAATGGAGAAATTGTTCGCTGACCGATGGACTTTTATCATCTTTCAGATGACAAATTATTCATTTCCAATTCTTCTGTAAGGCAATATGAGTCAAAGGTAGCATACAGTATGTATAGCCAGAACTAGTGTGCGATTTTGAGACAATTTAATTGCGTGACTTTGTACATTCCTCCATTACTGAGATGAAGCAAGTTTCATTTCAGCTTGATTCCAAAGATTGCACTTGAAAATGTTCTCATTTCCATTTTAATATTGAAGTTTAATTAAATTTTGCACTCTTAACTTTCAATTTTTTTTACGAAATCTTCTATAATCTTATGATTTAGTTTCGCTTTAGAGTTATCTGTTGGTCTCATTATAAATTATTTACGATTGACAAAAAAAAGAACGTCGCCTCGGGACGACTTACGTTACCGTCGATGCCTTAAAGGGTCGAAAGTGTTGGACAGATTTCCTCTACCCATGACAATCGGACATATTCGCTGCATGCTGTTCAAAATTGTCAGGCAAAATTTGCTGGTAACTTGTAAAGATATGTGTATGAAATATTTTTACGAATATATATATATATATATATATATATATATATAGAAAATTGATCGTTATTATACCCTTAATTCGAAAATGGTTTTAAGTCAATTTTTTTAAAATTATTGATTTACTAAGTGAAAGTCATTATGGAAAGCATTTGCAATACAACAGAGAAATTATGAATAGTGGAGCAGTGAAACAGTGAACATAAATTAAAATAGGACAATGAATTAAATGTAGCGAGACCATAAAGAGAAGACAAAGAACAGATCTAAACAGACAAGGCAAACAAAAATGCATTTCGAGTGACATGCATATAACGCGTATATTGATCATAAGTATATCCTGCTTAAAAGAAGGAAAAGGAAAAGGAAAAAAGGCATAAACCCGAAACCCCGCATAAAAATGTATAAAGCAAACGCAAACAACCCCTAAATGCCATCTCCTCGCATAGCTAGGCATGAAAGTATTTTGTTACAGATATATTGTAAATTTGGTTGCTGATCATAAAGTGTAATGTAAATACATGTAATATATATATATATATATATACGCATGCATGTATGTGCTTTTTTTTTCTTGCGTTCGCTTGCTTATATCCGTAAATAATTCAAGGAAGGGCGATTGCTTTCCATATATAACGACCTACGAAGCTTCACAGCAGAAACATATGCATGCATGCATGCATGCATCCACTTAGCATGAATAAAAATGAATGGTAACTGAAATCGTAGGATAAATTACAGGAAATAAAGTTTTACTTTTCATACTTACATCCATGGAGAATGCTTTAATATTCAGCTTATTAAGTATGTAGTCTTCGAAAGGATCAATGTCCCGTAGACCAATGTAAACCAATTGATCAGCAGGCAAACTGGAATTAAAAACATACGAGAAAAAACTTGAAGAATTTTTTTTTATATAATAAATTCTTTGAGAGAATAATTATGCAAATCTTATATATACATCGATCTTTTAGTCTGAACGCATCTATTTATTTCACTTTTGTTGTTTGCATAATAATGCAACATGTGTAAACATGATCAAAAGGGAAGATACAATATATAGATTTTATCTGTATAGTATATATATATATATATATATATATATATATGAAGTGAGCATCTTACATCAGCCGATAATTATCGATCTATAGACTTTTCAAAATATGGCATAAAGTGATCTAACCCACATCATTTATGATAGATTCTTTATTCATAGATCGAAACGTGTCAGTGTACCAAATTTCATCAAAATATCACAAAAATTGCGGGCTAAAAAAAAGAAAACAAGACGGAGAGACGGATACGTAAACTTAGAACGATTGAGAAAATGACTCTGTATCGATCGGTATAGTAGAAAGTGATTTAATTTCAAGTTTTTCTGGGTGTTGCATACAACGGGACAAACTTAATATGGTGGTGTAGGGTATAAAAACTAATATCATAATGTAACCGTATATTAATCTAACATTATGAATAACTAAATAAATAAGTTATGAACGTAACAATGTAGAGATTTCAACAAAATTAAGATACATTCGCTAATTGCGGTTGCTACGGAATTCTTGAATCAGATCATAATTATTTCCATGTACGTAGGCAGATTAAAAAAAAGATTAAATTATTGGATTTGCGGTGCTGAAAATCCCTGAGCAATCGAAATTGAAAGACTTTTTCAACCGTGACAGGTGACAGGTTGGTATGATTATCAGGCTGACGGGTGCAATTTTACCACATTTTCGATTATACCATTTGTTCGATCCTTGCATTGAGGGAATTACGTTACCGAATGTTACTGAGTGCTTTTTCTTTTTTTTTTTTTTTTTGCATGAAATCTTTCTGCTCAACCAGCCCTTAAGCCCTTTTGAGTATTACACGTTCGCACTAACTTAATATAACCTGTACTATAAGCGGTGTAGGGTGTAAATAGTTAAGCAATTAAAAAAAAAATATACCTTGAAAGGCGTGTAAAAGAAACATGTGTCATACCGATCGCCAGTAAAGCGAAACCGTACAACGATTTCTTTATTTTTCTTTTAAAAATATAAAAAAAAATAAATAAATAAAACCATGAGCGTGCTTTAGTTATATAGATAGGATCAGCAGACATTTATTACATTAAAAAGAAGGGGTGATTTCCTTTTAGTATGCTAGTTAGAGCGGCTTGCCCACTATTACAAATATAATAACAAAAACAACAACAATAACAACAACAACAATAACTTAACATTCACCTCTACAGACATTATAATTGAGCGCAAAGGTGTGTAATTTCGATTTCTGATTTCGGTTTTATCTCTTGTTTTGTACGTCTTTTTAATTTGTTGTGGGCTTCACATTTTTTTTTCTTTTTTTTCTTTATTTTTTTTTTTTTTTTTGTCCGCTGCCATTTAAAGACGTTAGATTAATTTAGTCATTGCTTTTGCAAAAGCCACGAATACGCGTCAAGGACGCTAGATAGAGCTATAATTACTAGTATATATTAAATTCAGAGTGACGTAAGCAGTACTCGTTTGTCCGTTTATTTATTATATTATAGATCTTCTCGCACTAGTTGCAAGAAATTGATTCAAATATTTTTAGAATGCTATGCTAGCAAAATATATTACTAACAATAACTTACCAGTCCACGGTAAAAACAAAAAAAAAAAAATATATATAGAAAAAAAATGCTTCTAATCAGTCATCTCTTCTATGTGAACTCAATTGAAAATGGGAATTATAACAATTAACGAGTAAAAGATTAAGATAGTGATCGGTATCCGAGATTCGACTCAAGACGAATACAACTTGCTCATTTGTTTTTGTTTTTTCTTTCGCTAAAATTTTTAGCTTTTCATTTGCATTTTTATTAAGGGTTAAATTTGCTGGTTTGAGAAAAGCTTAATTTGCTCCCTTAATTCTTATTTCTGTATTAAAATTAACAACAAATGAGAAAAAAACAAAAAAAAAAAAGCCATTCAAGTGTTTTCAATATAAATTGATTTTTTTGAATATATTTTTTTTGTTTTTGTTCGAACTACCTTTTCAGAAAATGACTTGACCAGGTGTTAATAATTGCAAGCTAAACGTATTCGTTTTACGTATGTGAAAGAAGTGTTATTTATTTATGTAGGTAATAAATAATATTAACAAGATTACATTATTGTATTCATTCTACACAGTCTTCTTCTCCTTAAAATATTTCTGTATTCTGTTTATAAGTGTGTGAATCACGGCCATTTTCAATATTTCAATTTACATTATAATCTAAAAGCATAAATGCAAGTTTTAATATACATAGTCCTCATCCATTATACGAGATATCCAATGTAAGATTTAATTCTGGAACGATTATCATTATGCATTAGTTTTTAATTTATGCGTAAGTACGCAAAGCTCAATTCAGAATCATTTTCCAAATCGTTTTATATATATATATATA